GGGGGGGGGGGGGGGGGGGGGTACAGTAGTAGTGCTCCGTGTTGCCGCCGGAATCAGGGGCTAAAAGAGGGTCGGATCACCACCTTGCTGCAAAAAAAGAAAGAAACGTACAACCGATCGGTTGGCGTATGTACAGGTTCGTCCGTGGGGGTGTTCGCTTCGCATTATCAGACGAAATGAAAACACCTGCATAGGGATTGGATGAACGTAGAGGGGGTACAGTAGCTGGCACGCAGTGTTGCAAACACACACACAGGAGGCATCTGCTTGTTACATACGTAGCTCACCGTCGCCCGGCTCGATAAACGGATCCCGGCGCCCAAGGTTTTCCAGTACAGACACGCTGAACGTATGCGGATGAAAAGTCTCCGCAGACTTGAGCAAGCGCGCCTCGGCGCGACTTACGCTCTCCATGGCATCAGCGCTGGCGCGCGACTGCATGTGAAGCGCACCGGGTGACTGGGCGTTGAGCACTTGTGGAACCCTGGAGATTCATTTCACCAAGTGGTGTGATAGCATGAGAAACGTTGTTGTTGTGGTTGTTGTCTTCACATTAAAAACCGTTCCGTTCTCTCTACCCAAGCACCTTTGTGTCCGTCTATACTTCCTCTGTCACATAAGTAAAGTCCGTTGTGGGGGAACTTACATACCTCACCAGCCAAGGTGTTCCTGAAGCTCTAGTTAGGTTTGTTGGAAAGCGCTTGTTACGCACATAAAAAAAAAAAAAATCCGACTCACAATTACTGAGAATTAGTGTGTCAAATACGGGACTATTTTGCGAATATTTTGGGAATATTTTGAAAACATTTTGAGAATATTTTAAAGAACGTTTGCAGCTTTGTGCTGTGTGAGCACCCACTACCACCACAACGACGTAGCTATCATGGGGGACGACGCCCAGACACCCCCACGTCGTAAGCGGGGTGCGGAAGTATCGTTGGGTCGTCGGTACGCCATGGCGGTGGAGATAGCGTTGGCGATTCCGCCGGGCAAAGAAAGGGTACCCAAGGGCTTTCTAGGCCCCCTCGCCGAGCGGTACGGCGTTGGTAGTGATTACCCCAGAAAACATTGGGCGGACGCGACATGGGTCGTTGAGTACAAGGGGGGGGTAGGGTTAGGACCCTAAGCCTGTCGGCTTTGCCCCGCAAGTAACTTGATTTTAGTGTGGGTTCACTACTATGTTGGTTTTTGTATGGGAGGACGCGAAATGGATCGTTCAGTAGAGGTAACCTTGGGTTTAGGGTTCGGGATAATTCTTGTCTTTTTTTGGTATGTTTCGTTTCGTGCCCCCACCCCCACCCTCATGGAAAGGGGCAAAATACGGCCTTTTTTGGCCTGACTACTTTTTTGTAAGCCGCTAGTGCATGCAGGGTAGTGCGCAAGAAAAAAAAAGAAATATGGGTTTCAACCCGAAAAACGCTCAAGATTTCAAAAAAAGTATGGCCTAAGACATCGGACACGGCTAAATGGCCGTGTAATCATAACGGACTTTACTTATGTGACAGAGGAAGTATGTGCCAGTCTACGACAGACCTAGTTGGGGAGAAAAGAGGTCGTGGTTGAGCCAGGTGTGTCACTTCTCACTTGGACCCAAGAGTGTCTACAAAGCAGGATGTGGTCGCGGCCATGGGATCTGCGATAGCTGTGTGAGGACAAATGTGGAGATTCCACTTGAGTTCAATTTCGAGGACAGCTATGTACAAGGACAAGTTTTGAAGGTGGCGTTGTGTGCAGACCAACGCTGGGTGCCGCAAAAGAGCAGAGAGAGGCAGGCGGCCGGTCATTTGCTTCAAAGGTGGGGAAATGTCATGTATCGTGCCAAAACGAGCACACAGGGTTTCACCTCTCGAGCAGCTCCCGCAAGCTGGTCGGCACAGTTGGTCGTGACGCGGAGTCCACGGTAGCCGACATGATCAGGCTGTGTCGTTGTGTGTTGTAGAAGCTTGCCGGCCCGTTCAAGCTCTGGCGAAAATCCCAACGGCAGAAACAGAAAACAAGCTCTTTCTGTCTCCTGAAAAAGCTTCCGTCATGCACAATGACACAGCCTCAGCAGCAGCAGCAGGAGAAGCAGTGCTGAAGTATCAGGGCACTGACCCTATCGTTGCACAGCAGCACTATCGGCGCTATGTATGGGACGGCGGGCTGGTGTCTCACTGCTGTCTGAGTTGCGTCTTCTCAGGTCTTCTTGAAACGGGGCTCCGCAAGATCATTCTAAGCCACAGTGTCGCGAAAAATCTCGCCGCATTTTTGGTTGGTGTGACGTGAGACAAGCGACAATCGCTCGTTGCTCAATCATCTCCGCCGCTGCTCAGCGAAGCCCTGCCACAGACAGCAGTGGCCTCGACAGCATAGAGGCAATCACCAATAGAGAGAGGTTATTCGAGAGAGAAGGGATTGTACGCCGGCTCCACGAGGGCAGCCACACGCAACAGCAGGTTTAGTCACACCAGTCAGTGTTCGTTCGGCGACGCTTGTCGCTCCATCACCTAACAGCAGTAGCACTTGGACGGTGTCGTCGACAACAGTCGACAGAGATGGCACGATCTCGCGGGAAGGGAGGTAAACCTCTCACGAAGGGAGGAAAGGCTTCGGCCGAAGAGAGTACCGCCGCCACTGCCGCTCCCTCGATCCTCTCACCAGAGTTGATGGCCGAGCTCGGCGATGACAGCGCTGGCGGTGCCATGGTAACCCAGAGCGCCAGCAACAAGGGAAAAAACAAAAAGAGAGGGCGCGTCGTCAGCAGCGAGACGCGGGAGCTTGCGGCTACCATCAGCAAGAGTAAGGCCAAGAAGCTCAAGCAACTGGAGGACAAGAAGCTCAAGGACGGTCGGAGGGCGGAGCTGTACCTCAAGCTCGAAAAGAACCGCATGTCGCAGAACCAGCTGTCCCTCCTGCAGTCCTCCAAGACGATCAGCATGAACCAGGACACCCTGAGATCGAGGCTGAAGCAGGCGGTGCAGAAGGCGGTGGCCGGCGTGGCCCTCAGCGATGCCGCCATCAACGAGCTCGAGAGCCACCCCGGACCTGTCGCCGACATCGAAGACGCGCTGGCGTTGCCGGTGGGAGGCGCCCTGGCGGCCGCGAGGAAAAGCAGCGGCCGTGCAGCCCCGAGAGCACCAGAAGGAGGAGGAGGAGGCAGCAAGTCAGTGATTGCAGCTAAGACAGACGATGGCAAGCGCACGGGGAGCGCCAAGGCCGGAGCCGGTCTCGCGAGGGACGGTGCAGCAGGGGCGGCGGCGAGTGGTGTGAAAGAGAAGGCCGAGGCCGTCGTGGTGGCGAGCAAGAAGCGGAGGCACGCGGAAGAGCCTGCTGCCGTTGCTCCCAAGCCTACTAAGAAACGGATACAGATCGTGGCTGCGGCAACGCCGAAAAGCAGCGACAGCAGCAGCGACGGTGACGACAGCAGCGACGAAAGGGAGAACGACCTCAAACCAAACGCCCCAGCAGAGAGGCTCAAAGCAGCGGCAGCAGCAGAAGTCACAAACACCGCCGCTGGCGACAAGGGCGCCGCCGCCGCCGCCGCCGATACCAAAACCAAAGGCAATACTTCAACCACCAGCGGCAGCAGCTGGGCGGCGAAGATGATGTCCTCCATGGCAAGACTTTCCACCAGCGGCAGCACCCCAAAGTGGGGCGCTTTATCTTCTGGCACAGCTAAAGGGAGCAGTGGTAAGACGCCTGGGAAGGCTTTGAACGCAGACGGTGACGGTGACGCAGCCGGTACTGGTGCCGCTGCCGAGAACGTCGACATCAATGAAGGTGGTGCTGACGATGAAGCGAACGAAGATAAGCCGACGACGGCCCCCTCGGCGGTCGTAGCCTCCTACCCCCCGCCGCCCAGCTGGCTGGAAGGCAACACTCCCGCGTACCACGCCGTCGAGAAGCCGCTCCCGTCGGTGTCGGGCGAGAGCGGCTACGGCCACCCGTCGACCGGCGGCGGCGGAGCTAGCTTGCCACCGCGTCCCAAGAGGTGGGTGCCCGTGAAGCGCCCGGTCGCCCTGCAGGCCGCTCGCCAGCAGCTGCCCGTGTGCGGGATGGAGCAGGAGATCATGGAGGCGGTCCACGAGAACGACACAGTCATCCTGTGCGGGGAGACCGGGTCGGGGAAGTCCACGCAGGTGCCCCAGTTCCTTTACGAGGCCGGCTACGCCGCGCACGGCCTGATCGGGGTGACGCAGCCGAGACGGGTCGCGGCGGTGGGCACGGCGGAGAGGGTCGCCGTCGAGCTCGGTACCAAGTGCGGGAAGGGGGGAGCGGTGGCGTACCAGATCCGTTACGATGCATCCGGGGTCGGGGAGAAGACGAGGGTCAAGTTCATGACGGACGGTGTCTTGCTGCAGGAGATCACCTCTGACCTGCTGCTGCGCAAATACAGCGTGGTGCTGCTGGACGAGGCGCACGAGAGGAACCTTAACACGGACGTGCTGCTGGGGATGCTTTCGAGATCGATCCCGCTGAGGTAACAGAGAAAGAGAGAGAGAAAGCACATGCGAGGCTTTTGTAGTGCCGGGGGCGATGATGGGCGTTCGGATCGATCGCGGTGGTTGGGTCGCAGCCGGAAGAGTCGTTGCGTCACGAAGGGCCTTGTGACTCGCCGGGTAGCCGTTTCGCCCCATCTGCTGTTTCGAGTCGCCTGTGTTACTTGTGCCGAGTTCCAAGATTTTTCGAGCTCTGCAAGTTCGCGTTTCCGCTGCGCCACGCGATGGTCTCGTTCATGATTCTTTGGAGTACATATAATGTCTCCTAGTATCATCGTTTTCAATCTATACCGAATGCACTCCGTCCCCTGCCATTGCACAGCCAGTCGTGACGTCCGCTCGCATGCACAAGGTTTCGTTGGGCCTTGCTTTTTGCTTTTGTTTGCTCCGCAGAAAGCAAGTGGCAGATGAAGAGCAGCGTGCGTGGAACATGCTCGGCGAGGATAGCAAGAAAACCGCCAAGGTGAAGAGAGAAAGCAATGAAGCTCCAAGCAAGTGACCAATCGTATACTAACCTGGTTGTTGTTGTCTTCGCACCAGACCGGCTGGGCATTCATCCTACTGAAGAGTGGGTCTCGCCGGTGAAGGGTGATGAGGAGTTCCGAGATTGCTCGAACACTACCGTGGGTGACACAAGATACCACACCCCCTGGACCGACTTTCGAAGCTTCGTTACTCCACGGCAAAGAGGATGCATAGATAAAACAGTACGGTTTGAAAAGGCTCTTGACGAGACGCCTGCAACGGTACCGTTTTCGGCACCGCCACTCTTTCTGCTGTCGAGAAATGGAGCTTTGAGAATCCGTCCTGGGGGGGTGGTATCCTGTGTCACCTACGGTGCGCCTGTGCCCGTTGAGAGGTTTGTTTTGCGGTGGCGCTAGGTGTTGTGGTACCCACGTACGCCAGGATTGCAGCGTACGCTAGCAGCAGACACAGAATTCCGCCAATGCCCTCAGCCGGCCCCCTTTTCCTACCACGCCAAGTAACCAAACCCTGAAGGCGGAAATTGTTGGTGACGTTTCGCTCCGCTACCACATCGGACGCGTCCCTTTCCCGGTAATCTCCACAAGTCATTCATGTATGTATCCTGCACGCGGGGCCGTTTTTTGTGTGTTCGGTCAGCTTCCGCTGCGGCCTCTGAAGCTGGTGATCATGTCCGCCACGCTGAGGGTGACCGACTTCACGGAGAACAAGGCGCTGTTTCCGGTGCCACCTCCGGTCATCAGCGCGACAAGTCGGCAGCACCCGGTCACTGTGCACTTCAGCAAGAGGACGGAGCTCTACGACTACTCCGGCGAGACCTTCAAGAAGGTAAAGGACCGCGCTCCTGTTGTCCTTGTTTTGCGGTCGTTACCGTCGTCGTCGTTATCGCTGCCGTCGTTATCGTCGCCGTTGACGCCCGTATTTGCTGAATCGTTCCGGTTTTTCCTGCTTGTTGCGGATGCTATGCACATCTCTTTTGGGGTCCCCCTTCTTAACGGCAAACAAAATCCAGGTGTGTAAGATCCATCAGCGTCTGCCGGAAGGCGGCATCCTGGTATTCATGACGGGGAAGCGCGAGATCCTGCACATGTGCGACAAGCTCCGACGAGAGTTTCCGCCGCCGAGGCCGGCCGCCGCCGGTAAACGTGACCGGAAGAAGAGCGGCGGTGGCAGCTGCAGCAGCAGTAGTGCGAAGCAAGGAGAGGCCGGCGGTGCGGCAAAGCAAGAGGGCGGAGCCAACGAGGATGGAGCCGGAGGGGATGGTGAGGCGAACGATAGTGGGAGCGGAGAAAAGACGCGGGATGACATCGATGCTGCTAAGCAGGTGAAGTCGCCTGAGGGCAAGAAGGGTATGAACAAGAACCATAACAAGAAGCCTTCCGAGGGCAACCCCTTGGTGCCGGAGCCACTGCAGGAGGAAGAGCAGCGGGGTGGTGTCGATGCTGCTACGACAACCAAGTCGCCCAAGGGCAAGAAGGGTAAGAAGAAGAAGTCTCCCAAGCCGGTGGTCCCAGAGGCACTGCAGGAAGAAGAACAGGGGGGCGACGTCGATGCGAAGAAGGCGAAGTCTTCCCAGGGCAAGGGTACGAAGAGGAAGCCAGGGCAAACGGAAGAGCGGGTGGTGCCGGAGCCACTGCGGGAGGAGGAGCAGAGCGATGGTATCGATGCTAAGAAGAAAAATAAGTCGACCAAGGACAAGAAGTCGAAGTCGCCCAAGGGCAAGTCGGCGGTGCTGAAGCCAATGCAGAAGGAAGAGCAGAGCGATGCCGTTGATGCCAAGAAGGCGAAATCATCCACAGGCGAGGACTACGGGGAGGGCAAGAAGACGAAGCCACGGCAGGGAGAACCGGTGGTGCCGGAGCCACTGCAGAAGGAGGAGCAGAGAAATGACGTCGACGCTAAGAAGAAAAAGAAGTCGCCCAAGAGCAAGCCGGTGGTGCCGGAGCCACTGCAGGAGGAGGAGGAGGAGGAGGAGCAGGAGGAGGAGCAGAAGGACGTCGTCGATGCTAAGAAGGCGAAATCGTCCAAGGACAAGGGCAAAAAGACGAAGCCTTGCAAGCCGGTGGTGCCGGAGGCACTGCAGGAGGAAGAGCAGGGGAATGACGTCGACGCTGCTACGAAAGCGAAATCGTCCCAGGGCAAGGATAAGAAGATGAAGCTGCCGCAGGAGGAGGAAAAGCCGGTTGTGCCGGAGGCACTGCAGGAGGAAGAGCAGAGGGGTGACGCCGACGCTGCTAAGAAGGCCACGCCGACCAAGGGCAAGAAGGCGAGGCCGCCACGTCCGGAGGAGAAGCCGAGGGAGACGGACAGGGAGGCGCTGCTGTACCGGGAGGCCGACGATGACGAGGAGGACGCCACCCGTCTCGGGGACATGGAAGAAGGAGGTGCCGACAACGACGACGGTGATGATTCACTCGACGGAGAAGAAGGCGGGGGGCTGAGCAGCGGTAGCGAGGTAGAAGAAGAAGAAAAAGGGGGAGCCGACGGCAAGATGGGGTCGTTCGGGGACGACGACGACGACGAGGGCGGCGAGGGCGGCGCAAGGCAGGCGCTGCCTCCCGTGCACGTGGTGCCGCTGTACGCGATGCTCACCGCCGAGGAGCAGGCCACGGTGTTCCGGCCGCCCCCGGACGGCCACCGCCTGGTCGTCGTCGCCACCAACGTCGCCGAGACCAGCATCACCATCCCGGGCATCGCGTACGTGGTGGACTGCGGCAGGCAGAAGAGGCGGGTCGTGCAGCGCGGCAGCGGGATCAGCCAGTTCGAGGTCGGGTGGGTGTCGAAGGCGTCTGCGGACCAGAGGGCGGGGAGGGCGGGGAGGACGGGGCCCGGCCATTGTTACCGGTGAGGGGGCTCTGGACGTTTCTCTGTGTTTTTTTGTGTGTTGTTCTTGACTCTTTGCAAACTGATGTGGTCTGGAATGGATTGGAAACTTCCTTTTTTGAAGAGCGTCCCTATGAACCGGGGGGGGGGAGTTGGAAAATGATGTTCAAAATATCAAACGTTTTATCACTCCGCAGCGTCATGCAAGCTCTCCGACGAGTTGTCTCGCGTACGGTTTAGGCTCGCGTTGCTCATCTGCGTTGTTGCACCCTCTCCAACCACTGTTTCCGGCAGAAAATGCGTGCATCCTTGTTCGCCCCACAACCCTCTCGGCCTTGTTACTCCTACACGCTTGGGTTCTCTCGGTGCGGATGCTCCCTGCACCTACATAATGCGCGCTAACGTTGCTACGACGCATATGTTATCTCTGTTGCCGTGGATAACTGCTACTTTGCTTGACGGCCTGGTTAGAGCATGGCATACCACATGCATTTTCGTGCAGCAAGAGATACCTCTCATTGCCACGTGACAGACCCCAAGGTTGGAAGTAGCTTGATCACCGCCGTGGGTGATCTCCCCTTCCCCGCCGGCCGTTACACACGTTGGCGATTCCGTTGCCCTCGAATCCCTTGGGCTTTCCTCTCGGAGCACTACTCCTGTTCCGTCCGATGCCCTCTTGTGGAGACGTTTTTAACACCACTGCCTTCCGCTGTGCACGCGGTTTCACCTCTCTCTCTCTCTCTCTCTCTCTCTCTCTCTCTCTCTCTCTCTCTCT